GTTGGAGTGAACTTGGTAGAACTTGGTAGAAACTAAAATTTTATTAATCACTGATGGGACCATACATTGTTAAAACCATGGGAAGAACAACTTGGTATTTTTCCCATAAAGCAAAACTTACAATCCAGTAATTCTAATTCCAGGTAAACACCTTAGGAGTAACTTTCAAACATTTTTTTAAGGACTCACAGTAAGAAATTCATTTAATATCGTATCTTAGTAATATATACATACACACACAATTGAAATGAAAGTTTAGGGAACAACAATGACCCTTATTCTGTAAAATGTTCTCTATTATCCATTCCCTCTCATTCTATTTCTTACTACAACCACATCACATAAGTTAAAAAAAAAACTGGTTATGACCCACTGAACTCATTTTATGACAAGAGAAATACACAAGAAAACATATAATGTGACTTCAGCACAGTCTGTAAATGAAACAAAAAACACATATCCATTAATAGGAAAATAGGCTAATAAATTCTGATACTTCATAACATACTCCATAGACGTTAAATAATCTAAATCTACATGCGTCAATAGGGGTAAATCTTGAAAATAATAATGAATCAAAAAAAGCAAGCTTCAAAAGGCTTGGCATAGTATGAAACAGTTTATATACATTTAAAGAACGAAAAATACACCACACTGCTTAAGAATTCACACATATAATGAAGGCATAAAAACACTGATGAGTAGGATTTCATACAATTTTGGAAAAGTAGCTACCTCTGAGAAAAAAAGAGTTAGTGAAGGGATTGATATGGGGTTATACTACTTCTCTGTAACATTTAATTTCTTAAAAATAAAAGTTTGGAGGCCAAGGTAGGTGGACTGCTTGAACTCCAGAGTTCAAGACCAGCCTGGGCAACATGGCAAAACCCCGTCTTTACAACAAATACAAAAATTAGCCAGGTGTGGTGGTGTGCACCTGTAGCCCCAGCTACTTGGGAGGCTGAGGTGGGAGGATTGCTTGAGTCCAGGATGTCAAGGTTACAATGAGCTGAAATCATGCCACTGCAGCCTGGGTGTCTGAGTGACACTCTGTCTCAAAAAAAAAAAGAAAAGAAAAGAAAAGAAAAAGGGTCTGAAATAATGTTAAAACGTTAAGATTTGTTAAATCTAAATGGTGGATACATAATTGTTGTGATGTTACTTTTTATATTTTTCTATGAGTTAAAATTATTTCATAACCCAAAAATAAAAATAAGAATCAATTAAAAGATATACTGGTTTTTGATGATGAAACTCAAGTAATAAAAAATGTAAAAATGTCTTAAAATCTGGAGTGTGAACAACATTTGCCTTAGTTTTGAAGCAACTAGTAAAAAAGTCGACAGCCTTGGTTGGGCGCAGTGGCTCACGCCTGTAATCCCAGCACTTTGGGAAGCCGAGGTGGGCGGATCACCTAAGGTCAGGAGGTCAAGACCAGCTTGGCCAACATGGTGAAACCTCGTTTCTAATAAAAATACAAAAAAATCAGCTGGGTGTTAGTGGTGCGTGCCTGTAGTCCCAGCTACTTGGGGGGCTGAGACACGAGAATCGCTTGAACCTGGGAGGCAGAGGTTGCAGTGAGTCGAGATCATGCCACTGCACTGCAGCCTGGGCAATAGAGCAAAACTCCATCTCAAAAGAAAAAAAAAAAAAAAATGGAAGGGGCCTTAAGGTGTAGGGAGACCTCCTGAAACTATTGCTATGGAATAGATTGCTATGGTTCATTTAAATCAGAGAAAAGGTGGAGATGTAGGGAGAGACCCTGAAACTATTGCTACGGAATAAAAGATGAAATGCTCCTGATTACTATAAATACAAAATTGCATGCAGGATTGTGTAAAGACAATGCCAGGGGTTGGACTGCCAGAATTAGCCAACAGCGCGTGATGTGCTTCCCCCTGCAGAGAGCCTATGAATGAACGTGCAGTCAGGGAGGTTTCACATCACCAAGATTCCTATCCCAGAAAAGCAGATGTTCATAGCTCTGGGAATGGAATGCGACCCTTGTGGGGAGCCTATAATCGGACGCATGGTGGGGGTGCCTGTCCATATGGATAAGATAGGGCTATAAATGCCCTCATCTTGCTGCGGCGCTTCTAGGCCTCTTTAGGGTTCATACTCCCTTCTGAGAATTTCTGGTCTAACCAGTTGTCTAACATCACGTCCTGTTTCTATGACTTGTTTGTAACCATCTTTTGCTGCAACTGTTACCGCTGTTCCTGTTTTAAGGCTCTGTTAGAAATTACTGATGTACACACTATGTTGTAAATTCTTATCTCTATATACTGTACTTCTATTACAGATGTTAAAGAATTACTTAATCCCCATGTGACCATCTCACCTCATAATCAAATGACCCTAAATCCCTCACTAACCTACCCCTGCCCTCACTAAACTTAATAATAAATGCTGGCATATTGCATTGTTGGCACCGTGGGACCAGAAGGTGGTGACCCCCCCTGGACCCAGCTTTCACTATCTCGTGTGTGTCTATTATTTCTCCACCTGCCGATCCGCCTGGGAACAAAGAGAGAGCCCCGTTGCATTGTGGGCTGCTGGCCAGATCCCGCAATATTAGGGTAATTTTGTTGAGACTTTTAGTGAAAGAGGTAGTATTTCAGAGTTTAAAATGAATATTTCCTTTCCTGGTTTAGACTCGTCATGGTGCCCTGTACTGGGAAGGCAAAATAGAGAGAAAGGAGAAAGAACAAAAGCTAGTGAGTGAGGATCTGCATGTAAAAAGATAAAGCTCAGTGATTTATTATACAAGAAAAACAGAATTTTATGAGTTTTAATATTTTAATTAATTGGTTTAATTAAAAATCACTTTATTTTCAAAAAAGACAGACTCTCAGATCATAAGACTAATGAGAGAAGGAATTAGACACTGAGTATATCAGAGTAAAAACAGCAACAACACAGAAATTTAAGTCAGTGGCATACAGTTTCGCTTTATGGCTAAAATTTTATGATATGTTGGAAGAACATAGGGCAATGCCTAATAGTGACTTTACCACACAATTAGGGAGGTATCATGCTTACAGTATAATATTTTTCAGCCAGTATATAATTTTTCAATCAAGATTTGCACATTATGACAATGACTAATGATTGCTACAAATTTAGAAGTCGGAAAGAAAGAGGATGATAAAATATATGCTATAATCCAAGGTTTCTCAAATTAGAATATGTCCAGGGTCATTGTTTCATCAAGCAGTAGAGGAGATTTTATCCCTATCCCCTCCTTCTAAATGTAGAAATCTGTTTATAGCTCGAATGAATTCTTTTATATTCCAATTATCAGTGGCAGCAAATTTGTGATTTAGTGGCTCAGAAATTCTGAAATTCAATCACTTAATTTTTACCAGGTTTGCAGCTCTGAATTTTTCTCTGTAACTGGTATCTAAATCCTCACTGTTAAAGAAAACAAGTGAGTACCAGCCTCTGGCTGAGGAATTAAAAAGACGGCAGCCTTATGCCTCACACATTGTGTGTACTCTCACTATATATGCTTATCGAAACAACAGATATATGCCAGAAAAACCTATACATATAAGTTGATATACTGTAAGTTTCTGTTGAATAGTCACCAATGAAATAAAAGAACAAAAATTACTCTTAAACAGTTTTTAATTCCAAAAATTTTCTCAGTTGAAAACACTACCACACATCTACAACCATCTGATCTTTGACAAACCTGAAAAAAACAAGCAGTGGGGAAAGGATTCCCTATTTAATAAATGGTGTTTGGAAAACTGGCTAGCCATATGCAGAAAGCTGAATCTGGACCCCTTCCTCACACCTTATACAAAAATCAATTCAAGATGGATTAAAGACTTAAATGTAAGATCTAAAACCATAAAATCCTAGAAGAAAACCTGGACAATACCATTCAGGACATAGGCATGGGCAAAGACTTCATGTCTAAAACACCAAAAGCAATGGCAACAAAAGCCAAAATAGACAAATGGGACCTAATTAAACTAAAGAGCTCCTGAATGGCAAAAGAAACTATCATCAGAGTAAACAGGCAACCTATAGAATGCGAGGAAATTTTTGCAATCCATCTGACAAAGGGCTAATATCTAGAATCTACAAAGAACTTAGACAAATTTACAAGAAAAAAACAAATGACCCCATCAAAAAGTGGGCAAAGGATATGAATAGACACTTCTTAAAAGGAGACATTTACGCAGTCAACAAATATACGAAAAAAAGCTCATCATCACTGGTCATTAGAGAAATGCAAATGAAAACCACAATGAGATACCATCTCACGCCAGCTAGAATAGCAATCATTAAAAAGTCAGGAAACAACAGATGCTGGAGAAAATGTGGAGAAACAGGAATGCTTTTACACTGTTGGTGGGAGTGTAAATTAGTTCAATCATTGTGGAAAACAGTGTGGCAACTCCTCAAGGATCTAGAACTAGAAATATCATTTGATCCAGCAAGCCCATTACTGGGTATATACCCAAAGGATTATAAATCATTCTACTATAAAGACACATGCACATGTATGTTTACTGCAGCACTATTCACAATAGCAAACACTTGTAACTAACCCAAATGTCCATCAGTGATAGACTGGATTAAGAAAATGTGGCACATATACACCATGAAATACTATGCAGCCAAAAAAAGGATGAGTTCATGTCCTTGCCGGGCATATGGATGAAGCCGGAAACCATCATTCTCAGCAAACTAACACAAGAACAGAAAACCAAACACCGCATATTCTCACTCGTAAGTGGGAGTTTAACAGTGAGAACACATGGAGACAGGGAGGGGAACATCACACATCAGGGCCTGTCACGGGGTGGGAGGCTAGGGGAAGGACAGCATTAGGAGAAATGCCAAACGTAGGTGACGGGTTGATGGGTGCAGCAAACTACCATGGCACGTATATATCTATGTAACAAATCTGCATGTTCTGTACATGACCCCAGAACTTAAAAGTATAATAAACAAAACAAAACAAAACAAAACAAAAAACATACCCATAGTGATGTATTGTTCCTTGTATAAGAAATGGTGCTGAAAGGTCCAAAAGTTCCAGGTCTTCGTGGCCAGATCTCACAGGAATTACACTATTAAACTTGTTCGAGAGTTTGCAAATTTCACTGAGTGTACCTCCTGTTAAGAGAATAAATAAATCCTTCAAGTAGTGCAAATAAAATGTAGACAAATGTACAGTCCTATTAAACAACATGTGAGGTATAATAAAAGACTAAAGGAATCGACAGAAAAAGACAATAAATGTATGTGAAAAATATTAATTTGTAAATGTACAATCCTATATATTGATTAAAAAAATCAATGCACAAAAATGCTGAGACTCGGGTAAAATATAAAGCTTGTGAAATTTTAACTAATTTCTTAAATTTAAACAAATTGCTCTTTATGCCAGGAACACGTTGGTTCAAATAACCAAAAGAGGGAATATAAGCTAAAAGCCAGGTTATGATCAGATTCTCACTAATTTGCTATATACTAATTAATATCTGGGCAAATTTACAGCTTAAATCTCAATTTTCCGGTCAATATTTCATTTAAATATAGATATGAGTGGTTTGTGTAATATGAATTCACATATAAAATTTGTTCATTTTTCCTGGGAATATTATCACACTTAATTCTATGACAAAGGAAGCATTCAAATGACCAAGCTGGCAGAGAAGTATTGCCTGGTGGCATGCCATTATTAGAAGGCAGTGTCCTTTTTACTTAGCTTATAATGCTTCCTCTCTCCAGGCAAAATGAATAGGATTTAAAAAAATACCTCTGTGTATTTCCTAAAATTTGGGTAGAATTTGTAATGTCAACATTCAATTATAAAGGAGAAGCACTTCTGGCATAGCAGAGTGAGGACATCCAAAGACACTTGACTGTAACAGCAGTTAAGAATATCGGCAAAAACTGTAAAACCTTTTTTAGAACTCTGGAAATTACCAGAGGCCTTCAACAATCCAAGGAGTGTTTGCTCCAGAAAAAGGGCTGAATTTTGGCAAGAATGGTTGAGCTCTGTGGCATTTTAACTTGCCCTGTTCCCATCCTCCTTCCCCCAAGCTCTTTGTTACTGGAAGCCACAGTTCTGCTATGTCATATTGCAGTTAGATAGAAATCCTCATTATGCATGCTTAAAAACTCCAAACAATATTCCCTAAGCATGCTACTTTAAAGTTTCACAGTCCAAAAGTTAGTCTATCTTCTGGAGACGGATACCTAGCGCTGCTAAAGAAACTCCTGCCTACTGTTCAAAACTGCAATAGGTGACCATTCACCTATTCTCATAGTTCTTATAGAGAAAGAGAACTCTTCTCTCTGAGTTCCTCCCCAAAAATACTATTTCAAAGAATCTGGTGAGAGCTCATCTAGTCATTCACACTGTCTATTCACACGAGTTTGGCTCTGGCAAATAAGCTGGACAACCTTGGTCAAGTTACTTAAACTCTAGTATAACGGTTTTCCCATTTGTAAAACTGAGAATAATGTTACTCTGTAAGATCATTATAAAGATTAAATGAGTTAATATTTGTAAAGCACTTAGAGCCATGAGTGACTATTATTATCAATATTTTAGTGATTTCCTCTTAATATAAAGTCCATGAAAGGAAATACTTTGTTGTGTTTGCTACATTACCACTAATGCCTAAATCAGTGTCTGGCACACAGTAGGCATTCAACAAACACGTGCTAAACAAATGAATGAGTACAAAGAAAGACATTTGCATGTATATACGTGCATACTAGGTTTCTCAAGGTTTGTATCTGGAGACATCCTAACTGAGAGCAATTTATTTGCAATCAGTAGAAATATTTAACATGTACTATGGAGACAGACAGGCCTAAGTGTGAATTTTTTTCTGACATTTACTAGGTCTTTAACTTTGAGTACTTCACCTTTTTCTCTTGGTCTCAGTTTCCTCACCTGTTTAAAAAGGGGATACATCTAGCTTACAGAAGATTGTTATGAGAGTTAAAGATAAAATACTAAAGTAGGCAGTACAGTGCCTGACACATAGTCTATTCAGTAAATTATAGGTAATAATAAATATTATAATAAAATGATTTGGTGACATTAGAGTTCCATACAAATTATGTTTCAGAGTATGCAGTTTAAAATATAATGTTAATAATAAATATTGTAAACAATTCTATACCCACAAGTTTGACACCTTAGATAAAATGGTTCCATTTCTTGAAAGACATAATCTATCAAAATTCACACAAGGAGAAATATATCATCTGAATAGGTCTATGTCTATAGAGAAATTAAATCAATAATAATCATCTTGAAGAAAGTCACCAGGCTCAGATTGTTTCAATAGATAAGTCTACCCAAACACGGAAATGATACCAATTCTCTACTATGTATTCCGGAAAATGGAAGTAGAGGGGATGTTTCCTAATTCTTATGAGGCCAGCAATATCCTAATACATAACCAAATACATTACAAGAACAAAAACCTATAGATCAACTTCTCTTATGAAAATACATACAAAAATACTCAAAAAGTATTTAAAAATTGAATCAAAAAAGAAAATAATTACACACCATGACCAAATGAAATTCATTTTAGGTATGCAAGGCTGGTTAAACACCTCAAAATCAATTAATGTAATTTATCACATTAATAGGTTAAAGAAGAAAAATTGTATGATCATATTAATAGATGCAATAGAAAAGCACTTGATAAAATTCAACATCATTAATAACAAAAATTCTCAACAAACTAGGAATATTGGGGAGCTTCTTCAACTTGACAAAGAACATCGATAAAATAGCTACAGCTAAAATCACATTTAATGGTGACACTTTCCACCTAAGACTGAGATAAAAGCAAGAACATTCCCTCTCATTGCTCCTATTCAATATTGTACTGGAAGCCCTATCTAATGCAGTGAGAAAAGGAAACAAAAGGTATACACACTAGGAAGGAAGAGATAAACTGTCTTTGTTTACAGGAAATCACAACAAAAAAATTCCTGAAATAATAAGCAATTATTAACGGTAGAGGATACAAGGTTAAATCTAAAAAAAAAATCAATTGCTTGACTATACATAAGCAATAAATAATCGGAGTTTGAATTTAACATTAAATAATTAGCACCAAAAAAGAAAATACTGAGGTATAAAGCTAACAAAATGTGATCTATATATTGTTGGATTTACAAGATTTATCTGAGTAAAACTATAAAACCCTAAAGAGATCTAAGAAGATCTACATAGATAGTCCAGGTTCATTGTCAATAATATCAAGATGTTAGTTCTCCCTCTCCAGCTTGACTTACAGATTTATGGCAATCTTTTTTTTTTTTTTTTTTTTGGATGAAGTTTCGCTCTTGTTGCCCAGGCTGGAGTGCAACGGCGCGATCTCGGCTCACCGCAACCTCTGCCTCCCGGGCTCAAGCTATTCTACTGCCTCAGCCTCCTGAGTACTTGGGATTACAGGTATGTGCCACCATGCCGGACTAATTTTGTATTTTTAGTAGAGATGGGGTTTCTCCATGTTGGTCAGGCTGGTCTCGAACTCCCAACCTCAGGTGATCTGCCTGCCTTGGCCTCCCAAAGTGCTAGGATTACTGGAGTGAGCCACCGCGCCCAGATGGCAATCTTAACAAAAATTCCAGCAAGTTATTTTTTGATACTGAAAAACTGCTTATAAAGTTTATATGGAAATGCAAAAGATTTACAATAGCCAACACAATACGGAAGACAAAGAAAGTTGCAGGACCAACACTACACAATTTCAAGAATTACTGTATAGCTTTAGAAATAACAATGGTGTGATATTGGGAAAATAACAGATAGCTAGATTAAAACAGAACAGAGAACACAGAAACAAATTCACAAAAATAAACTGGTTTGACAAAGAAGCAAAGGTAATTCAATGGCGAAGGAACAGTCTTTTTAACAAATGGTACTGGAAAACTGAACATCTGCATGCAAAAAAAAATCTGGACACAGATCTTACACCTTTTACAGAAATTAACTGATACTGTTTTATATGAGACTCTAATGGTGGGTACATGGTATTCTGCATTTGTCAAAGCATAAATAACTGTAAAGCAAAACGAGTGAACCCTAATGTAAACTAGGGTCACAATAAAATAGAGTCAACTGCATTAACTTGGCATGAATATCAGTGAATGCTACTGTAGGTGCTTAAAGTCTAAGAATGACTTTGTATTTATATCATTTTCTTTGGTTCATCTCTAAGTCCAAGTCAGTTTTTGATTTTGTTACTTCCTAATCAGAATAGTGCCATACTTCAGTAAGATCCTAGTCCTTGGCTCAGGTTATACTTAGAAACATAAAATAAAAATAGCTCACATTTCTTATATTCCTTTTACATTTCAAAGTGCTTCTACATACATCCTCATTTTTTTAAAAAAATAAGCCTTTTTTAAAAAGAAGTTTTAGGTTCACAGCAAAATTAAGCAAAAGGTACAAAGTTTCCCTATGTCTCCTAGTCTCTTCCCCATTATCGACATCTTGCACCAGAGTGGTAAATTTAGTCAATCAAGAAACCTATTTTAACAAACCACTATCACTCAAAGTCCACACTTTACATTAGTAACAAACCATTATCACTCAAAGTCCACTCTTTACATTACTAACAAACCATTATCACTCAAAGGCCACAGTTTACATTAGTAACA